TTCATAAGTTTCAACTCGAAACTTGCTAAACTATTGTAGACGCCCTTTTCACGAAACGTTTCAATTTTGCAATGCAATTAATTTTTTTCTCACACGAAGAACATTTATGAGCTTCGCATGGGTCTTATTAGTTAGGGACTATTTCGTATTCAATTTTATTCACTTTTAATCATCCAAGAATAAAAATTCATACAGTACTCCACAATACGAGCAATATTTATAGGGATTACTCAGCCTTCGGATTGGACAGTTTTACGGTTATCCTTTCATCAAGGCAAACTCATCCATACACGGGTCGTCATTATCTTTTACAGCATTCCGCAAGACGATGATTCCTCTGAAGCCTCACTAGATTTGTCAGCATTTGAAGATTTCTTCAAAACCACCGCTGCTGACACGGAAACAAGTACCCAGTCAGACCAGGGTACTTCCACTAGTCAGCCTTCCACAGAAACAAGTACCAGAGAAGTACCACAAGTATCAACTGCCAAAGACGTTGAAACAGAGGCGACTGTTTCGCCGTCACAAAAAACAACATCCACTGAGTTACCCGTGACAACTGAGAAAATTTCTGAGAAAGAAATTTCCACGGAAACGTCTCAAAAGGAGTCGGATCATGGGACTGAAACTAGTTCGAGTGCCTTGGAAACAGACAGTCCTCTGTTTGGGTAAAATTTTCTTCTTCTTCCCTCTCGTTGACTTCATGAATAGGTTATTTTCATAATTTCCTTGATTCTTGATGCAGAGATGACCATGAAGAAGAAGAGGGTACCAGTCAATCATCATCACCTGACGAGGTTTCAACCACAGGTTCACCAACGCAAGCAGAACCCTCGTCTCTGAAAGTGCTGACAACTTCAAGAACTGATGATTCAGTTCAAAAAACCAGCACCAGTGCCACTTCAACAGACTCATCAACAGAACCTGATCAGGAAAAGGGAAAAGTGTCAGAGGATAAGACTACCACAATCATTCCTCGCACCTCAAGACCAGGAGAAATATCATCAGATGATGAAATTTCATCAACTGATGAAATTTCAGATTCTTCAACTTTACCACCAGGGCTGACTAGCGAATCTGCTGAAGAAAAAACTGCAACTCAAAAAAGTGCATCAACAGAAACAGTTTCACAAAGTGGCACAAGTGATTTGACAGAAAGCACTCAAGAAGTCACCTCAAGCCAACGTCCAACATCAGTGCAATCATCAGATGACACAGAATCATCAACTGATGAAGATTTCCCAACAAATCTGACCAGTGCTCCTGAAGATGAAAGTGAAACTCAAAAAAGTGTCTCAACAGAAACTGAAACAACAGTTTCCAAGAGTGATGCAAGTGTGACTCAACCTAATCAACTGATGAAGATTTCCCAACAAATCTGACCAGTGCTCCTGAAGATGAAAGTGAAACTCAAAAAAGTGTCTCAACAGAAACTGAAACAACAGTTTCCAAGAGTGATGCAAGTGTGACTCAACCTACTGATCAGCAAAAATTGACAACAGGCAGTGCTGAAAAAGCAACAACTCTTGCTGAGGAAAAGACTACAACAATCATCACTCATGCCTCAAAATCAGGAGTAATATTAGAGGATGGCACTTCATCAACTGATGAAATCTTGGATTCTTCAACTTTACCAACAAAGCTTACTAGTGAATCTACAGAAGAAACTGCAACTCAAAAAAGTGGACCAACAGAAACAGCAGTTCCAAAAAGTGACACAATTGTGACAGAAAGTACTCAAGAAGTCACCTCAAGCCCACATCCAACATCAGTGCAAACTTCAACTGATGAACCAGTCACTTCAACAAATCTGACAAGTGCTTCTGAAGATGAAAGTGAAACTCAAAAAAGTGTCTCAACAGAAACTGAAACAACAATTTCAAAGAGTGAAGCAAGTGTGACTCAACCAACTGATCAGCAAAAATTGACAACAGGCAGTGTTGAAAAATTCACAACTATTTCTGAGGAAAAAACTACAACAATCATTCCTCATCCTTCAAAACCAGAAGTAATATCATCAGATGATGATGATATTTCATCTACTGATGAAATCATAGATTTTTCAACTCTAACACCAAAGCTGACAAGTGAAACTGCAGAAGAAACTGCAACTCAAAAAAGTGGACCAACAGAAACAGCAGTTCCAAAAAGTGGCACAAGTGATTTGACAGAAAGCACTCAAGAAGTCACCTCTAGCCCACATCCAACATCAGTGCAAACATCAACTGATGAACCAGTCACTTCAACAAATCTGACAAGTGGCTCTGAGGATGAAAGTGAAACTCAAAAAAGTGTCTCAACAGAAACTGAAACAACAGTTTCCAAGAGTGATGCAAGTGTGACACAAACTACTGATCAGCAAAAATTGACAACAGACAGTGCTGAAAAAGCAACAACTCTCGCTGAGGAAAAGACTACAACAATCATTCCTCATGCCTCAAGACCAGGAGTAATATCATCAGATGATGATCCTTCATCAACTGATGAAATCACTGATTTTTCAACTCTGCCACCAAGGCTGACCAGTGAATCTGAAGAAAAAACTGCAACTCAAAGAATTCAGTCCACAGAGACAACAGTTTCAAAAAGTGACACAATTGTGACAGAAAGTACTCAAGAAGTCACCTCAAGCCCAAATCCAACATCAGTGCAAACTTCAACTGATGAACCGGTCACTTCAACAAATCTGAAAAGTGCTTCAGAGGATGAAAGTGAAACTGAAAAAAGTGTTGCATCAGAAGCTGAAACAACAGTTTCCAAGAGTGAAGCAAGGGTGACCCAACCTGCTGTTCATCAAAAATCCACAACAGAGACTGTTGAAAAATCAACAACTCTTTCAGATGACAACAAACTCACAGAAACTACACCAGAGGCTGTCAGCACTGTGAAAATAACACCTGGTTCAGACAGTGCATCAGCCACAACATTGCCAAGTGTGGAACCAAAATCAAGCAGTGAACACGTACTCAGTGATGATGATGATGATGATCACTTGATAACATCTCACAATGAAGGCACCCCAACAGCAAGTGTGGTACCAACAGCAGAAAATCTGATATTGGACACACAAGAAACAACCACTTCTGCTGCGGCTCGATCTGAAAGCCCCAAGACGGATCAAGACACCAAAACTACTCCAGAAAAAGAAACCACTGACATTCTCGAAAAGACCACAACGTCCAAACCAGGCTTTACAAGATACCCTTCAGATTCAGAAACCAGGGTAACTGCATCAAGGACATCGACACTCACAACTATCGATTCTGTTCAGGAAACCAAGGCATCTGAAGCAGCAACGAGTAAACTACCTCGAAAAGACGAGCTGAGCACGCAGCAAAATGCGGAAGAAACAGCTACGACCAGAGAACAGAGTCCTGAAACAAGGGTTCCCATCGAGGCAACAACCTCAGTTAGTGATGTAGAAACGCAAGCCTCAGTATCACCATATGATGGAGACACTGAAACACAATCTACACCTAGAAATTTTACCATAAAAGAAGCAGCAGCAACATTCGCACCAACCAGTGATGATGGGGATCTTGAAACAACGACTAAAGATGGAAAAACGACAAAATCATTGACTACTTCATCATCACANCAGGCTTTACAAGATACCCTTCAGATTCAGAAACCAGGGTAACTGCATCAAGGACATCGACACTCACAACTATCGATTCTGTTCAGGAAACCAAGGCATCTGAAGCAGCAACGAGTAAACTACCTCGCAAAGACGAGCTGAGCACGCAGCAAAATGCGGAAGAAACAGCTACGACCAGAGAACGGAGTCCTGAAACAAGGGTTCCCATCGAGGCAACAACCTCAGTTAGTGATGCAGAAACGCAAGCCTCAGTATCACCAGATGATGGAGATATTGAAACACAATCAACACCTAGAAATGTTGCCATAAAAGAAGCAGCAGCAACAATCACACCAACCAGTGATGATGGGGATCTTGAAACAACGACTAAAGATGGAAAAACGACAAAATCATTGACTACTTCATCATCACATGATGTTGAAGATCCTCAATCAAAGACAACCATCGAAATTCCTGCTGTAACCAAAGGCGCTGTTCAAGATGATGCTGAGGAAGACATTCTCACCATCACTGCGGGATCCACATCAGGCACACAAGTTCCCAAGGAAACCACTTGTAGAGGTCTACCACGAGGTTGTCAGGGACCTCTCTGGTCGTCATCACAAGTTGTACTACTACTACTTCTCCTGTCAGGATGATAGTGTCGACCTAGGTGGAATCTTCCAGGTTGTGTACTATTTTCCATCGCAACATTTGCAGATGGTACCACAACATTATCTGGGGATACAGACAGCAGTGTTCAAGATGAAGCTACTTCAACTACCATAGTAGGATCCACATCAGGAGAAATCCGCACTCAGGCCACCACAAAATCTTCAGATGGTGCTCCAACAGTTTCAGAAGAAGCCAGCAGCAGTGTGCAAGTTGATGCTGAAGAAAGCAGCAGTCCCAGTTCCACAGCAGGACCCAGCACATCAGAAGAACAAAGTCATGATGAAACCACCACCAAGGCATCCACAAAATCTCCAGATAGTGCTCCAACAGAGACAGAGGGCATTGTTCAAGATGATATTGATGAAGGCATTCTTACAAGTACTGTGGGATCCACATCAGATGAGCAAATTCGCAGGGAGACCACCACAGAGGCAGTAATACCATCTTCAGATGGTGCTCCAACAATTTCTAGGGAGACAGAAAGCACTGTTCAAGATGATGTTATTCAAACCACCACTGGAGAATACAAGAGGAAGAAGCACAAAGAACTGATGTTACCCAGATACCAGTCACAAGCAGTGTTCATCCAGCTAAAGCCACAGATGACCACAGCAGTACCATCAACCAAGAGGAATCAAAGACTACAACTATAGCAACTACCAACACTGAACCAGAAGAAATTACAGAATCGACCAGACTACCAAGTAAGATCCCCTGTGCTTCCCTTCATCCTCCTTGGTCTTTCATCATGCTTGCAATCTGTTTAGCAGCAACAGATCCCAAGATGCAAGTACATGCTGCGAGTGGAGTCAAGCATGATGATGATGATGATGAAGAGGACATGGAAACCAAAACAGTTCTTACCACCCTGGAGGCTCTTGACCTCAAAGCAGCGACAGAAAAAACTGATCCAGCCTCTGAATTGACTGAATCAACCAATGTAACACAAAAATCCCAAGAATCAAGGTCAACTGAAGCACAAGACCACAGGACCACTAGCCTTCCCATCATCTTGGATGATGATGCAGATGACCTTCTCGTCACTGAAAAGACGGAGACGACTGAAACTGGAAAAATTTCTGATGAGGAGTCAACAACAGTTGTTGATGCTACATCTACACAAAAATCTACTGAAACGACGAGTTTCTTAGGCACAACTTCAAGAAGCTCCAGCACTGATTTGGATTTCCGCGACGTCACCAAAACTCCAGTCACTGAAACACGTCATACAGACCAAAAACTGGATACGAGAACCACAACTTCTGCCACTGAACGTGAATCACTGGACACGGACAGAACGCAACCTCCTATTTCAGAGACTACAGAAACCACAAGGACATCCAAATCAATTGAGGAACTTAAAGAAACAACTCCCACTTCAAGACCCCAACAAGAAAAAACTACAATTGTGTCTGATGAAGATCAAGATCCTGATGAACTTCCCGTCACAACAGGAATCCCAGCAGCAACCAAAACAGAACTGGATCTCAGTACATCCACAATAAGGGAGCCAATTACGACAGACTCTTTGGGAACTTCTGCGGAACAAGAAGTAACTGAATCTCCATCAAATCTCACACAGTCAATTGCAAGTGACATAACAGCAACGAGTACCTCTGTGGAGACAAGCTCAGCAAAAGACACATTTGGAAGTACCACTGGGAGCTTTTCCATAGTATTTGATGACACAGATGATGAAGAAGAGGAGCCACTCACAACCACCAGTGCCTCAAGTCTACCTGAAAAAACTGCTACTGATGCCACTGATATTTCAACACAAGGAACTAACACCACAGAAAGCAGCTCCTTGGAAAGTACAACAGTCAGCTTTTCCATTGTGTTCGATGACACAGAAGAAGAAGAATCATTCACCACTTCAGCTTCAACGCAATCCCCCAAAACTGCAGAAGTATCCACTGAGTCAAAGGATGAACAAACAACCATCAGTTCATCCAGTGTGCTCAGTGATGAGGACAGTCAATCTCAACAACTGGACATAACTGAAACAAGCATCACTGATGCTCCTGCCACGACAATTTTCTCAGAAAAAACCGCCAGCACAGAGCCAACTGCAACAGAAAAAGAGCAACCAGGAACAACCCAAGTAATCGAAGTGAGACTGGGTCCCACAAGGAGTCCAACATCGAAACCCAAAGTTCAAGATCCTTCAACAACGACTACATCCTCTGAAATAGTCTCATCTTCCAGTCCAGTTGAGACAACTCCACGTGATGAGAGCACAAGCAGGACACCTGGAACCACTGAAATTACCGGTGAAACTGCTCTTCCAACTTCAGCGGATCCAAAACAAGATGACATCGAAATCATGAATTTAGTCCTCACAGAGGCAGTTGTTGAAACAGCAAATGAAACCGCGAAACCGACGAGCTCCACCACTTTTGCCTCGAGCACCACTACAGAAGATTCCGTATCAACTGAGAAAACGCAACCTCACGAAAACATCATTAGTGAGACCAAAACCGAAGGATCAAAGACCACAAGTTCAGCAATCGAAGAAACCTCAACAGCAGCCAGTAGCGGAGAAACAGAGGATGTTCACACAGTAACATCGTCTCCAAAAATATTAACAACTTCGGAGAAACAGGCTGATACCGAGGCTGAAACTAAAAAAGCATCTGTGACCACTGAACGCTCAACATCATCCATTCAGCAAGATGATCAAGAGGACCTTGAGGAGAGTTCAACCACCACAGGAAAAACGGTTTCTGTTCCTCAAAAAACCACGCATGATGTAGAGGTAACGGATTCCACCGAAACAGTAGCTACAACCACAAAAACTACGGAACTTGAGGAAGCAGCAACAGTGACAATTGGAACTCCTGCACAAGATCTAAGAAAACAATCCGTTGATTCCGAACAAACTGCAACAACCTCCAGCAGCAGCAGCGAGCAACTACCAGAAGACGGACAAGATGAAATTGAATCCACAACACCGAGGATCGAACAACCAGGAATCACCGGTTTCAGCTCGATAACTACCACAGAAAAAATCATCACTGTAGGACCAGAATCGCAATCTGCAGAAACAACTTCTTCCGGCGTAGAAGACAGCACTTTAACAACATCTAGTGCAAGCGACATCGACGGAATCACCACAAGCGTCATTTCCGGGGATGAAAGAATTACAAAAGGCACAACAACAGTGAAAACCGACTTACTTTCCGACGATGCTGACGAAGAAGAGCTGTTCACAGAGGTCACAATGATCACCGTCTCAAGCTCAGTTGAGGATGAATCTTCTGAAAGGATTGAATCTGCAACCGGAACTTCGACAATCGTGCCCATCACAGAAGGAGCACACGACGCAGAAACATCAACTGACAAGTCCCTCGGAGTAACAGTTTCTGAAACGGAATCAACGAGCCGCACTCAAGTTTCCACAACAGCACAAGATGAAGACGACACAGAGACCTTAGGTCAACAGACAACAGGTTCCATCGCGGAACAGGATCAAAATGCTACCATTAGTGATGGTGAGGCATCATCAACGACCGAATCAGGCTTGACAGATGCCCCTACGGAACGCTCAACAACAATCGTGGTTGAGTTCAGGCAAGATTTCAACGGAACTGGTTTCACTGACGAAGGCTTGACTTCCGAACTGGATACAACAACTCCGAGTACTCAGTTCGATGATGAACCAAGTCCATTGGAGCAGTTTATGGCCCCGGTTCCCGCTGATCCGTCCTCAACTGATGGGATTGTTGTGGAAGACTCGGTCACGCAAACTAAATCCTCTACGCCAGTCACAACTGTGTTTCCCGTTTACAACGTTTCTTTGAAGCTCGCAGAGAAAATTCAACCAGCCACTCCAACTCCTCTCGTAACGAAGTACATCACAACAACCACGACAAGAAGATCAACAACAGTCGCCCAGGATGGCAGAGGAACGACAACCAGGCCATACTCGGAGCAGCAAAAGGAGGACTTCCCCAGTTTCCCTTCGGATGATGAGGAATACACCGACCTCGAAGATCCACTGACAGAAAATCAGCCAATCGACATCAGTAGTCTCACTTCAGAGCTCGGTCACATTGTTTGTATTTACAGGAACAAGGCATATATGACAGCTGAGCAAGTGCCAAGGGCAAATCCGTGCCAGTTCTGCTTCTGCTTCCGGGGCGACATAATTTGCCTAGAACAGTCGTGTCCTCCTCCGATCACAGGCTGCACGGAGGAGGTTATCGCAGGGTTTTGCTGTCCTCGTTACGAGTGTCCAGTGCCAAAACACTGGCATCCTCCAGCTTCTGCTCTGCCATCAAATGCCACCAGCTCAAGCGATGAAATTGAGGGTTGTGAAGTCAAGGGGCATGTTTACCCAATTGGGTCTATTGTGGGCCCTGCTTCTTCTCCCTGCATGATCTGCAAGTAAGTCTCTCAAAAGTCAAACCACATGGCATGTGTTATTCGATGAATTCACAAGTGACCAGGAAACTTAAAATCACCACCAAATTTGAAATCGAACAAGAAGTGTTGGTTCACAAGTTCACTTCGCCTCATGTCTAATGAATCGATGCATACGAACACATATTTTCACAGATTAATACAGTACAGTTATTATACACACTTCCGCGTCTCAGTTATTTTAGTTCAGCCAGGATGGTTTTAAGTAGAACCAGCACGTTACAATGATGGAAAATTTGTGCTTAGTGATGCCCGTCTTGAAATATCCACCGACAGCAAGAAGTTGTCCGAGTTCGGCAGAAATTGAATAAAATTATTTCCAAATGAGCCAAGACATGCTTCAAGTCGGCTTATTGATCAGCAATTTCTCAGTAATTGGTCTTGAATACCGTACTTTGGTGGGCAAAGAACTTTTTTTTCCAGAACATGGACAAAATCTTCGATTCGTCGCATTCCTGAAGGTTACGCATCAATTTAGTACGAAGATAACCAGAACTCCGAAGCGAAAGGACACTAGACATTTTTCGTAGTTGCTCGCTGATGATCCTGAATGGAATACTGTAGTGCAAAAACGTACTCGACAGACATTCATGCACGTGAAGTAAAATAATGCTGCTCTCTTAGATGCGGAACCATGGGAATGATGGAGTGCCAACCCAGGGATTGCGAAGCCCAGCCAACCATCAGAAAGCTTTTAGCAGCAGTAAGAAGACGCAGATAAGACAATCAACGAAACTGCTCGCATCAGCCATTACCGTAAGTGAACACTTCGCAAATCGGAATTCAAATCGTGCCACTTCAAAAATGCATTTCGATGACATACACAGATGCAGTGATCTGCAGCAGAAAGTGTGATACATTGAACACAAGGCTCAAGAACCCAGTCAAGGCGCATTACAGGGATGCAAGCAGCTCTCCTGAAGAAACTCTGATGGGGATTCATGGAATGGACAGCTGAAGGCATCCTTACACAGAACCTGCTTTCGCTTGTGTGTTCCTGCTAAGTTGCAAGCAGACCAAGTGGTCATCATTTTATACTTTTTTGGCTTCGAGGCTTTTTGAACTCACGCAGTCCCCCGAAATTATGAGGACTGCTGACTAATCCGACCCTTAAAGAGCGTGCCAGTGTAATAAGCCGTGCTATATTTTGCAATTCAAAAAAAAAAAGTTCCTGCTTTCGTCAAGTATCTCTGTTGCATGGGCAAGTAATTCATCAGCGTCTGCTCTCAGAAGTTTGCAGAGCTTATTTCTTCTGCTAGTGCGGAAATTTCCTTCGGATTTTCTAGTTCAACGCATCAAACGATAGACAGGATATTAATCTTAGCAACGAAAAAAACGAAATTTGCAGAACTCATTTCTTCTACAACTTCGGAAATTTCAACAGGATTTCCAGTTCAACACTTCAAAAGTTAGGAAGAATATTAACCCTTAGCAAAAGAAAAAAATCATAAGTTTGCAGAGCTAATTCCTTCGACAGTTTCAGAGATTTCGACACGATTTTTCAATTCAAAACTTCGAACATTAAAAAGAATATCACCTTTCGCAACAGAAAAAAAATCAACTTTGCAGAGCTTATATAGTTATTTCTGAAACGTCGACATGATTTTCCAATTCAACACTTCAAACGCTAGAAAAAATATTAAAATTTGCAACAACAAAAAAATCACAACCAAATTTAGTCACCTACAGCTTTCATTGAACGAATATCACACGATTTCCCTGCAGTCTCATAAAAAATCTTTTCTGAATAATCTGCATAAATTTTGGCAAAGATTTTCCTCTTATCTTCCCCTGTTCCCGAGCAAACTTCTGGGTGGACCCTGGTACTTCTGAGAATACTGTATGTATAGTGATGGGAGAGGAGACCATTGCTGCCATTTGTACAGATCATGTGAGTGATTGGTCCATTCGCCATCGCAGTATCGTTAGTGTACCATGGCGCAAGCTTTTTTTTTGTGTGTTGCGTCGGAAACATGGTTTACAGTTTGGGATGAAAAAAAGAAAGCACTAGTCCTTTTCTTCCACTGATGTTCTTTCAACAACAGGTGGCTGATGGCGGATCAGAACTTGTCCGGATCGGCTTTCGGGGTGCGGGTTTCTGCAGCACCTTGTTTGTTCTTGTAATCATCCAAAGCGGCTCTAATGGCATCTTCAGCTAGCACTGAAAAATATGAACATTTCAGAGAGACAGTGACTCATACACTCGAAAGACACGCAGTAAATCTTACTTGAACAGTGTAACTTCACAGGTGGCAAGCTAAGTTCTTTCGCGATCTGTTTATTCTCTATTTTACCGGCTTCCTCCACCTCGAACAGAAAAAGAAGGATCACTTCAACCCGAATGATTTCACAACCCTCTTTATTACGGTACTCTCGAGAAGCGAAGATGTTAAAAATGCTTGAAATAACAAAATAGATCTTCTGGGAAAAATCAAAGAATGGGGATACAACTTCGAACGGATTAATTGACCGGGGACTTTTGCAGTTTTAGCTTAAGGATTCCCTTCAACATCCATATTCAAGAAAACAAAAAATTCAGTAATCCTAACTGCAAAATATATGACAAATATTTCCAGTAGAACAAAATTTTTCTCCATTCCTAGCAGGAAGCCCATAGGATACAGGTAAATGCTAAAACAATTTCATTATAACAAACTTCCCAACTCCAGTATAGAACACATTTTTGAGGAATTTGTAATAGATTCTTTAGGTAGAAATTTCCCAGCTCATGCAGGAAGAGTCTGAAATTTCCAATCCCAAATGTGACTGATACATGAAGAGATTGGTGCTACTGATGGAATGCATGATAGAAGCTAATTTTTTCCAAAAGAAAACTCCAGTTTTTCGAACAAAAATATAAAAAATCTGAGAATGCCAGAAAAACAAGATCCAATTGATTATAGGCAGGTCTGACGAGAAAATGTTACCTAGTCTTTAATTTTGAAAATCTCGATACAGTACAAAAAATTTTCCCAAGTTCCCGAAAGTTCGATGCAGCGAGATTTCACCGTATTAAACTTATTAAAGATGCACAATTCAGATGCAATTACTGTACATCATTATACTGTAGTAGGCATGAGTACAGACGGAGTAGGTCAAGATTGTTAATTACCAAGAAATTTGAAAATGAAGAAGCGTCAACAATAGCGGCTTAAAATAAATGGTACGGATCATATCTTAAAACCTTCGAATAAAAAATTAGGACAGGCTCTTACGGATTTTCCTTTGATCCACTCAGTGGCCAGAGAACTCGAGGCGATGGCAGACCCACAGCCGAAAGTCTTGAATTTCGCGTCAATTATTTTCCCGTTTTCATCAACTTCAATCTGCAGCTTCATCACATCTCCGCAAGCAGGGGCTCCAACCAGCCCAGTTCCCACTCTTTTGCTCTTCGCATCCAGGGACCCAACGTTTCTCGGGTTCTCGTAATGATCAATCACCTGCAACATTTCAACCAGTACAGCAATGACATTATGACACAACACTTACATACAAAAACACACGCCCGCGAAAATCTGGAAGAGAGATCATGATCAAATCATGCCAGAATACAGTAATTCAAAAAGCACTGAAGAAAATTTATAGATTTCGCACAGAATAATATAAATTAATTCGCACTAAATTTGGTTAAATCTGTTCCGAAGACACTCAAAATCGAACGTCAAGAAGGAGTCTTTTGGATCAGGATTTTGAAGAACGGAAGAACCAATTATATCTATTGCAGTCCAATTAAACCAAATGAATATGAAGCCCTATAATCAGCAGCACGACATTAAGAGTGCAACTCGAACTCCGGTACACTTGGACAAACGCAAAATCACAAAGGCGAAAAAATTGTAGTGATCAAGCAAGAGAATCATTATGATTCAAAACACTCGAGCACAGAAAAAAAGGCAAAAGCGATTCTCCACAGGAACACATACTCACGATTTGCCAAGATTCGTTCAATTTGAGACACTTCGACCAAAAAATACGATTCAACCCGAAATAAATTCATTTGATACGACACGGAAAGAAGAACAAGAATTCAACGGAACTCACCGGTGTGTGTTCATGACATACATTCACGTAAAGAAGTTCTTTTTATCGGAAAAGAAGTAAGAAAAGAGACAGGAACAACACGCACATTTTTATGATAGGCAGCATCAAGCACCGGAAGAACACGATTCCATTCCCGATGAACCAGTTTCCTCCACGTGTTCCCAAGAGCCATGATGAAGGTACGAGGATGGCAAGACTAACGAGTAAGTAATTAAGAAGGTAATTATTGCTAAGGAGTCATTTGTGAAATGAATGTGGCCGTGCAGTGCTTTCAGCAATCATCAGCCATTTTTAATGTTTCATCCCGTTCTTCTCCCTCAACACGAAGGGATCAACTTCCCGCAGCGAAAAACTTGGCGAATCGGAAGTGAGTCAAACGCGGAAGCTGTTGCTTCTGAAAAAAACAGCGATTCCTTAAAACACAAAAAAACCTTCACTCGTGAGTCACAGAAAAAATCTCGGAACACCACGGTTCTCGAAAAACAAAATCGCCCCCAATTGCACGATATAATAACCCATAACCACAACATTTGCTCACTGAAAGTTTCTAGTACGAAAAACTATCATTGAGAAAAAATTTTCAAACACCTCCACTTGATATTTTGGCCTGCAGTTCTAGGATTTTTCTCTTTACTTCTTTTGGAAAGAGATCTAACATCACACGTATTTCATCGTCTGTTTCTCGGTGAAATAAACTGCATAAATCTGACTCTTCGCGGATGGCACCGAGAAACCTTCGAGAAAATCGCGGTTCCTCTCAAAAAACGACGCTTTCTGAAGTCCGGAAGACCCGACGAAAAACCCTTCAGAATTCCATCAAATTATCGTCCGGACACACGAGCAGAAAAACAAGAATCTCTCCAGTCGGAAGAACGGCGCAGGAAAGAAATCCCTTTTGCATCTGATATACAATAATTTTGATTCCGGAGCACAAACATAGGTTCGTACGAACAAGTCACGCTCACGAATCTTTAATTCGAATGACCCATGAAAACACGCTCACTTTTCTTGTAAAACCTGGCCTCTGAAAGCTCCATCTTTCCCAAATCAAACAACGCGCGGTTTTTTTTTTTTACCAGTTTCACATTCCTTTTCTATATACCCGACAAAATAAAGGCAGAATTACCAACGATGCCAACAGCAGAACGCATCGATACCAACGAACCCTGCGCGTTTCTCCCGACTGCCCAATGAACACTTCGCTATGTGCAGACTCAACAAATAAGGCCACTCCCAGTTCAAGCAAAAAGAAGACGTGGGGGGAAAAGAACCACAGGCTTTCGTTGAACGTCGAATAGGGATAAATATGATCGCACTTCTTCCTCTAAGATTGTGATAACAAAAGAAGTCCAGTAGACTCAACAGAACCGCGGTAAATTGTAAACCTACCCAATCTGGCACAGACAGAAAGGCTACAGATTGTTCAAATATTTAATGAGCAGTGAGAAACCGTATTTTGTGTGTCTAAAATAATTCGAATCTAGTGTGAAACGTCTTCAGAAAATCATCAACTCATACAGAAGGCTTTGAATACAATTTCCCGAGGGAGACAAGATGAATATAAGACGGCCCTCATTTCAATAAAACTTCTCGCGAAGCCTCTGCAAACAGAGAAATGAAAGTTTCATCTGACACGGTGCATAAATATAAACATTCGTCATCAGTCATTAGCGGATGGACAAATTTCTCACTGCACAGTAACCTTTTGAACATTTTACATCGCATCCCAAACGTCAAGAAAAAAACGTCGGCATTTTCGGTCTTCGGGATAGAACGGAAAAGCAAAGATAATATCGATGAAATCGAAAAATTCCCTCCACTTTCTCCCGTCCGAAAAAAAAAGCTCTTTTCCTCTACCAGACCGACGATTCCATAAATTGTTCCAAGCAATACTCGCGAGAAAACATTCGTACGCGCAATAAAAACACATTCCGTTTGATCACCGGCGAATATCACCGCGCGTCGCCATTACAATTCCTAACTCGTCTAGAAAAACAAAAAAACTTAACCAACGGGGACTTCCAGAAGTTCAAGAGACCCAGGCAGAGTTCACCGCATCGGAAATAGAAGGAAATTTACTTTCCACAAATGCCTCGGAAAAAAAGGACGAGGCGCTCAAGATCAGGAAAACAAAAGGAAGACAGCGTGTGACGAGAACTGCAGGAAGCCCCACTGTTGTAATAACTAGGCTATCAACGCAAAACTCAGCACAGCTCACACGACAGCATCATCGGAAGAAAAAGAGAAAGCACTGAAAGACAGAGGAAAAAAGAAAGACAGAAGATTGAGAAACCGGGATCAGGCGTGATTCTTCTTGTCTTCCCAGCCAGTCTCGACAACGTCGGGTGCTTCGTAGAATTCCGTCTCCTCAGCGTAGTAACGCGTGAGTCCGTAAACGACGGCCTCGTACGTGGACAGCATGATGGCCGAGTTGGGGATTTGTCGCACGAGTTGCGTGCACAGGCCTCGGTAAAGAGCGCGGAATCCCTCCTCGTGGAACACCAGGCTCAGAGTGGGCCAGAAACTGCGGTAGCGGGGCGTGCCCTGCCGCATCCGTGTGCGGGCCACCTCTGGAATTCGAAGATTTCGTTACAACACTAGCCCTCCACTTGAGAACACACTAAATAGCACAGAATGAATGCAATTGTACACTATAAGGTGCAGCATGCCAGTAACTTCCGATTTCGCAAAAGGTTCACGTCATAGTTGGGTTTAAACAAATATCAATGGATATTTTCATTTTATGGGAAACTTCCCTCCCCGCTTAACCCATCTTCCGAGTTTTTTTATTTTAATGATAAAATCATTTGTATGAAACACAAATTTGGCCATTGAATGGAATTTTTCAGTGGGCTTCGATTTAAACTTTAAACCATCAAAGTTTTTCAAATACAGTACGAATTTTGGTGACTGAAAACTCAGGTGCGCGTCTTAAGCGGCGATAGCACTTTCCCCAAAAATTTTAGCAAAAAACCTGGGGTGCGCGTCTCACTCGCGGGTGGTACTCGAGTACAAACGTTTGATGATTCAAAAGTATCGAAAATTAGAATGAATTCGTCGTACAGAGAACATCGTACAATTTCAACAGCCAACTTGCAAAACGTGATTCCTGTCATAGGGCTCCAGTAAAATTATTACCATGAGGGTAGGTGAGAAAAGCAGCACAGGTTCGGGAAACGGCAGCAGCAGCCATATACTCGAGAAA